ATTGGTAATATGTACTTACTTATTACACTATTAGCGGAATCGAAACCGCTTGTATCTATTATATTATTATGATAATAATGTTTAAGCTAAATAAATAATAAAAAAATTAAAATATGTCTATGTAGATAATTTATCTTCATATAGATATTTTGATGCAAACACATATGACACAAACTTACAAAAATGATTAGTACCTAACTTTACATATTAGTAACACAAATAAGTTTCTTGAGTGTTTTCAACCGACTTCAAAAAGGAGGAGGTTCTCAATTCGACTGTATTTTTTTTTATGTTTGTTACCTCAGAACTTCGTCATTTATTAACCGATTTAGACAATTTTTGTTGTGTTTGAAAGGGTCTTCCAGACTTCCAGATTGGTCTCATTTAAATTTCAAAAAAAAAATACCACCCCTAAGGGTGGAAAAATAGCTAATGATGGATTTAACCTACTTCTAATTGTCATATTGACTTGAAACTTTGCAAGTGTTTCAATTTCCGTTGATAGTACAGTGGTTCGGTATTGTTGACCTGAACTGATAGTAAGGCCAGAAGGTGGATAGGTGGAACTCTTCAACGGCTAATAGTAGATACTTTGAGTTTGGGCTTATTTTGTTTGTTTCGACAAGCCTAACACGTTAGAATTCTTACTTTGCTACTACTGTCTACACTAAAAAGGGAAAAATAAAAACGTTTTAACAAAAAAATAAAAACCGACTTCAAACAAAAGCACTAAATAGTAAAAAATAACTGATTGGTAGTTTTCATTTACTATACATACCTAATCAAATATTTTCGAAGTCGGTGTGCTTTGGCTAAGTAATTAAAGCCTACCTATTAAATGCATACCTAATCAAATATTTTCGAAATCGGTGCCAGCCCATACAAAGCAAAGCACACCGACTTCGAAAATATTTGATTAGGTAGGTATGTATAGTAAATGAAAACTACCAATCAGTTATTTTTTACTTTTTAGTGCTTTTGTTTGAAGTCGGTTTTTATTTTTTTGTTAAAAAGTTTTTATAAAATAACACGTCATTTGTTTCAATTACTCTCGCCTGAAATTAATTAATAACAAAAGTACATAGTTTTAACGACATTGGCGAAGTATATTGTGCCAACACGGCACTCCTAGAAGCCACTAAACATACAAATTGAATTCCTATTTTCAGAATTCGTACTTCAAATTACCATGAGGGAAAAAGCGCTTTCAAATTGGTTTTTTAATAGTTATCTACCCTTTTATTAGGATCTGGGATATTGACTCTATCCTTAATTTTAATTCTACTTGGCAATTGGCATGATCCTCCATGTTAGCGCAGATGACATAAATCTATACTGGTATTGACTACTGTTACTATAATTCAATAATTAAGCACGTCATTAGCTTGTCTGTAATCATGACCTACTTTTTTTCATAACTCAACAGTTAGTGCACATTAGATTGAACATTTTAGCACTTATAACACTAAATAATAAGTATAAAAAGTATACAACATTATTTTAGTAGTTGTATAACAGCCATTTTAATTACCTTTTGCTTCCGTAGATCACAAAAGTAGATCAATAATGTTTATTTTGCGCGCGCGCTACCATCAGTGATCGCGACTTGCGTTGCATGAACATAAATAAAGCAATCGTTATACATCGTTATACGACGACGGGGCCACATAGCGCCCAGCACATAATGGCATTGCTAATTTTTTCGTCACGTACAGGCTATCTAATCTCCTATACACAACTTACAAGTAACTAGGACTTCTCAGAAGTCTAATTGGATTGACGTTTTAGTCCTAATCTTCTTTAACTAGTCTGCAGGCACTTTACTATACTACTTACAAATGACAACCATAGTTCATATTTTCTAGCTTTTACTAATATTCAATGAGTTAGTGTATTATTTAAATAGGTATTTTTAACATCATTTGCTTACAATTATCCATAAACACTACGTCGCTCATCCGTCACAATATCTTAAATGACTGCTGACTTCCTACGCGGTATGAAATGATCTTTATTATACTCATCGCTCGCTATATTTGAAGTAAACTGAAGACAGTATAGTTAGTGACGTTATCGTGCTCACATATTTACATCTCCGCTCAGTCTCATAATCCCGCGATAAAATAAAGTGAAAACCAACAATATATTTTGCTTAGACGCTGAAGTTGAAGACACCCGTCGTAGTATCGCATAGAAGTTTGTGTGTAAAAGATTTGATTTGGTATATTTAAAGTCCCAGTACGGCTCAATATCGCTGTAAAATCTGTCCAAAGATTACAGTAATACAATTGTGTAAACTGGTATAAAACAACCGTGAATGCGTGACAGATTTAATGTATTTTTAGTCTTTAAATTACCCATAATAGACCAGGGAGTTCTTGTTAACTGGTTTATTTAATATTCTTTATTTTGCTTTATGTACATATCATTTTATGATTATACTAGCGGCTCACCCTCGCGTCGCTCGGGTTCGCTTCTAGGGAGACAAAAACAAATCTATCCTACGGGAACCGTACATTTTTCCGGGATAAAATTTTCCTATGTGTTAATCCAGACTATAATCTATCTCTGTGCCACATTTAATCCCGATCATTTCAGCTATTCTGGCGTAAAGGAATAACAAACATCCAATTCACAAACTTTCACATTTATAATATTAATACGGAGTGTTGTATCTATCTTATATACTTAAATTTCTTTATCTTACATATTAATTTAATCGTAATAAAATTAATTCCATTTTAATATATTTTTTCATAAATAGGTTGTTTAGTATGTTTTAGAGAAGATTCAGCGCTGAATTTACACTAGGGACACTCGGGGCTAGTGCCTAGGGCAACAAATTTTTAGGGGCGGCAAAATTCGGAGGGTAAAAAAAAAATTCTCTTCGCGTTATCGAAAATGCTTTTTTTATTTTCCAAATAATGAATAATAAAAAAAAGACTACCTAGTAGGTACATTTTATGAAAAATTGAGATGATTTAAAATTTATATTGTTGCATTTTTCAAAAATTAATAATTAAAAAAAACAATATCGAAACTTCACCCATTTTGCTGCATTGCTGCATTTTTACTATGCCCAGGGGCGGCGCGGCGCTAAAGGTTGAAATGGGTCGAATCCGGTACTGGAAAATAGTATAATATTCTGTATTTCTTCATTAATCATTAAGATTCAAACATAAAATTTGTTTTATTACTACAAAAGACAAGTGTAGTGGTGGTTCTAATGTTGACATTAAAATCATCCCAATTGACAAAAACTATTAATGTATAAAAGGGCGGCTTAAAAATAAAATATACATTCCTCAAACGAAAACCTGTTAGTATTACAAGTTTATATATTTGTTACGTTCATTGAAAAATTGGACAAAAACTAATTTGAGGTCGTTCAATTATTATTATTGGCTTTGTAACGTCATGAGTTACATCATCAAGAGTCAACATACACATACCTAGGTACTTTGTTACGAGAAAAATAACGACATGCATAAGAGTTTCAACATTAAAACTTTTAACCATTTCAATTATGCAAATCACTGTCTTTTCTCTGTCTGCACGTGTTTTAACATTTACTATAGGTATCGAGGATAGATAAAAAAGTTGTGACTCTTTCATTCGTTTTTCGCTGACGCTTTAGATCTATACTATATTGCAATGCTAGTATTAGTAGGTAGTGCCTAATTTCTGTTCTAACCAGAATTCAGAAAAAATCTGTGTATGTAATTAATATAAACATTCACCTTGTCCAGATTCGAACCTAAGATTTACGACCACGAAGTAGATAAGGCTGGTGTGCCGATCAGGATAAGTACTTACTAATTTAGGGAACAGACTTAAACTTTAACTTACTTCTTAATTCGGTTACGTGATGTCACATTAACGGTTGGTAGAAGAGTAACATAAGCGTATAATACTATTATTATAGCTTTAAGCCATGGGGACCTCTCATCATTGGTTTAGTCGTAATAAATTGACGGCATTTTATTGTGTCGATTTGTTATTGATATTTGTTTAACATTAAAGTTTTCAACGTATTTTAAGTAAAGTAAAAAAGGTAAATTTTACTGATTATTAAAAATCCGCCAAACCAGCATTAATAGGTAATACATTTGCACTGCACTACGTATTTACATTTATTGAGTTATAAGAGTTTTTACTCGGGTTGAAACTATTGAAATGACTGAAATTTGTTTTATTAAATATAAAATGAATTTTGATATTTATTATATTTCACAAATTTATTACCTACATACATACGGTTTTATGAAATAAAATAGGTGTACAGTATTTTCATAATATGTCTCTTACTTTGTTTTACCTATCTATATAATCATCATTATTATTACCATATCATCATTATTTGATAGAACTTTTTTTAATGATACTTTTACGAGCATTTTACTTATTTCTTTAATTTCGTAAAGGTCACTGTAGTCATGAATAAGCTTTCAATACAGCTGAGAAAAGCCGGCTAGACTCGGTATTTGCTCTTTTAAATATCGAGTTACCGTAACTTTTGTAGCAATGTTATACCTAGCCCGCGTAATATTATTAAATTTATCTTTATTCCTACACATTTTCACCAACAAAAAGCCATTGAACATGCTTTATGTAGTAATAAATATTTTAATGTTATCTTTAAATTTTGGACTATTAGTTTCATGTCAGTTTTTAAAGTATTTTATTAAACGTCAAATACGTTTTTTTTTAATTTTAATAATCTCTAAGTTAGGTTATCTCGTAGGCTGTGAAGCAAAAATGTATTAAATAACATTAAACTAAATTAATTTATTTCCTTATCTATAACTGGCCTCCAAAGATAAACAGGTACACCGTACACCACTGTAGCACTATCAGAAACATTTGATACTACACTACGTAGATACCAAAACCGGTGAAGCATGTTTACACCTAAATCAAAACTTATAGAGCCATTGTAAATTATGGAGTTTGTACCTAACTTTTTTGTGAGTTTTTGAAGATCTAAGGATTTAACCATCATGGGTTGCTGCGATAATTGCTGTGTTCCGTCTAAAGAATCGAGTAAGTTAGCTTAAAATGAATAGCAACACAGTGAGTGCTATTAACATTTTTATCTTTCATAGATAAAAAATGTGAATAATATTTGTTAAGATGAATTTTTATAAAATACTTTTAGTTGAAAATGTATGCTTTTTATTTAATCAAAACTTTGCTTACATTAAATATTAAATAAAAGTAGTCCAAGGATATGTATAATGTAATTTGCTGTCTCAGTAAATACTTTTGTATAATAATTTAATGTTTTCATTCATACATTCACAATTGTTGATATTTTATTATTCATCCATGTTTGGAAACACTAACAATTAATATATAAATATTTTTTCCAGTAGAATATAAATTAGGTATATTTAATTAATATTTTCCTCTGTTCTAGGAGAGCCGATACGATACGATCCAGACTTCAACGGCCCCACACGCAATCGCTCTTGCACGGACATCGTCTGGCTAATCATTTTCATCCTCTTCCTAGGAGTATGGGGCTACGTCGGATATTACAGTAAGCCATATCAATCTTAAATTTCTAATTCATAAAAGAGATAAAATATATTATATACACATGTTTTAATACATGAAATCGTTACTTGGGTTATCTACTGATACTTTCTCACAGAATAGCTTGAAGTGTTAAATATTTTTAGTATGTAAATATTTTTTTTATTCAATAGGTATGACGAAAGGCAACTTCGAAAAGCTCTTAGCTCCAATTGATTCGAAAGGTCGCCGTTGTGGAATGGATTCCGGACTTGAAGACAAAAAATACCTGTTGTTTTTTAACATCGTAAAATGTCTTTCCCCTGGAACACCTATTACAGGATGTCCTACCACTCAAGTTAGTAAAGTTTTTATAGCTTTAAAAAAGTAATATTAATATGTATATAGTGAGAATATTGTAGTTATTACTAATTAGTAAATAAAATTTTAAAAGAATCTTAGAAATCTTACATTACGGAAATATCCGTCAAGTTGATTAGGCTAACGAGATAATATTATCCTCCTTCTGGGATTGTCGGTAAAAATTAATCTAAATATTTATGTTATAAATTAACTTTGCAGGTTTGTGTATCACAGTGCCCGAGCCAAACAGTATTAATTGAAAAGGAATTAAGGGTAAATCCATCCTCATTTGAGGAATTAAGGAAAGATATGGTATGCAATGATGAAGTGAACATGCAAACAATGACTTATGCTCAAGCTTTACAATATATTCAAGAAGAAAAATGCGCTAGTTTTATATTACAGAGTCAACCAGGTGGGTCCTGATTTGCCTTGTCCATTTATTAATATGTACAACTTTCATGTTTTGTACCTATAGAAACGGAGGGATCATTACACTAGCAGTTTGATTGGGCCATTTTCGATACTAAAGCATTTTGTTAAACAAAGACGATAGGTTTTTTAGTTATAAGAGCTAATTAATTATTGGTTAGTTGATTAGCTCTTATAAGTTCTTAAATTGGTCCAAAAACCTTGGGTTACCTAAATAAAGCAATTATAATGTACAGAGTAGGTACCTAAGTATAATAAATAATATGGAGATGAATAATCGATAGTAGTTAGAGACTCACTCAAAGTTTAGGAGGATATATAATTCTCGTTATTTTTTTAGTTCGAAAGCTTCATTATATCTATCCATAGTATAGGTTCGTTAGAAAATTTTTTACATCGAATAAAGTAGGTTAGGTCTAAGTTACATATATATGTACATAATTTTTTCTTTATTATTAAAGGTATTATTGAATTATTGGATAATTACATCAAACAATATTATATAATATCTAATATTGTCCTTATAAAAATCAAAATCTTTTTATGAATATTAAGTTTTTCCATACTTTCTCTAAAAGTGAATTAAATAATAATAATCTTACCCCATCTACCTTAAATAAATCCTACTAAGTACATAACTGTTCTTTATTGTTATTATTAATACGTGAGGCATGTTGATGTGAGTGTTCAGAGTTTTTGTGCCGCTTCTAACAATAATAAATAGAAAAAATGACCGCGCTTTAGTGTTGTTCCGCTGCATTGGAGATCTATCAAAGCTGGAATGTAAAGATACCACGAATTCTGGAAAATGGCTGCAAAATGGGAATAGTGGGGATACTTGCGTCCGTGACCCGAAAAGGGCACAGAAGTCGTTGCTGAACAGTGCAACAGCATTCGATTCTTACGTAGGCTATATAGCAGCCAGCTGGGTGGTGTTCTTCACGAGAAATGACCGCGAAACTCATATTGTAGGTAGCATGCGACAATTTTTAGCACCTACATTTTTCACGTTAAGCTTGTTACCACATGCACTTAACTACTGTAATCTATTTAAACTGCATTGGAAACATATCTAACAATTTTTCTTAGACTCTCCATAACATCTTATCGTATCTATAATAATAAATAAACTAAATCAGCATGTGAATGTATAGGCTATAAGACGTAAGCTAATCGTATTAAGAACCTACTTATGCACAAGAACCAATTAATGCTTGCTTGGTACATGGAACAGTGCTGGGTCGGTGCTTTATTAACGTCACTGCTGTGATGGACGTGCTAGAAGACCTGTCAAATGGTACCCTTGGCCTAGCGGAGGAACAGGTGGTTGAACAACTCTCCAATTTAGTTAAATTTAATCAGGTAGTACATAAATATATATTTACATACAATTTATTAAAAAAAATTCACTTGTAACTACTAACATAGTTTTTTCGTGAATATTTTAATTAGTAATAGCGTGATCTTGTTTATGTTGCATGTTACATTATCACTTTAATCTTATAGTCATTAATACCTTATAATGTCATTGTATGTATATTCTACACACTAGTTGATACCTAATGTCAAAGTAGAGATTAATCTTGTTTGTTTTTGATAATATATTGCAATGCCCAATGATTAACTAATATGTTAAGTATACACAAAAGCTACATAATTTCAATTCTTTTGCTTAATTACAAATGAAAAATGTAAATTTTTCTCTATCGAGTAATAAGAAATACTAATTAAACAGTAATAGAATAAATAATATGGAAATTGACTCCATTTTAATCTAATATTTTGGGTATCAGCTTTCGTCACAGATAGTGCAAGACTTGGTTCAGTCACGATGGTACATGGCGGGAGCTCTCGTCGCCGTGGTAGTCCTATGCTTTATCTACATCTTACTGATACGGTGGGTGGTGACGCCCGTCGTGTGGATCTCTATTGCTGGATTATTTGCACTTTTAGGATTTAGTAAGTAAAACGTATTGCTATAAATATAAACCTCTATTGTAATTTGTATTTACAACGTATACTCATAGATCTTTAGATTTGCAAGTAACATGCTCAAAATATACAATTTTGAGTTACGTCGTTCATCTGCAATACTACATACGTAAGTACGTAAGAGATGTAGCGTAAAAATGGAATATGTACAACACTTACTGGAAACAGGCATGCTTGTAAATATTTTTTTTGCATAATAACAGAATTTTTAAATATATTCTACTGGTTATTTCGAGAAAACTCTATTTCTAAACATAACTAATAATGCATTGATTTGACATAATATGAAAGTGTGTAACTTTTATTTTCACACTAGCAGTACCCACGGCTCCACCCGCGTTCAGATGACCAAAAACCAAATTTTTAGATTTAAATATTAATATAGGTACTCTTACTTTGCAGTTTTTGTATTTTTTTCTCAGAAATGAGATATTTTCCCGCAGTAAAAAGTATTCTATATGTTTACCCGGATAACCAGCTATCACCATACCAAATTTCATCAAAATCCCTTCAGTCGTTTTTCCGTGATGCGGTAACAGACAGACAGACAGACAAAAATTCTAAAAACTATAGATTCGGCCTCTGTATCGATAATGTCTATTTCAATAAGATTTTCGAAAAAGTATTTAATGTACAGATTCGGATTAGTTACAATTTTATTATATGTAGGTATAGATATAAAAAAACATTACACATTTACTAAAACAAATTTAATTTTAACGTTTTTTAACCGGGGTAAACAGCGCCATATATGAATAAGCTAAAAACTCTTTACCTAATCTTTTATTAATATTTTAATAACCGGTAAAATTACGGATATTTCTATTAGAATGAATTAGGTATATATTGTAATCATTTATGTTGAGTATTTTTTACACCTAAATATAACGTTTTGGGATCTATTTTCTATTAGTTTTAGTACTAATTTTAAACAAACGCGAATACTAAATCGATACATATACCACGCCCTCTATTAACATTTAATTGAAGTAATTCTTCTTTGTTATTGATGAAACCCCATAATATTATTATACTACTTTTTATTTCAGCCATGTACGTATGTTACAAGAACTACGCGTATTATAAAGCAAATCCCGTGAGTTTACATCAAACAACAAATCTCAAAGGATTCGCGGAAAGTATCTTTGCCAAGAGTGAGACGTGGCTGTTCATACTTATTGTAGTAGCAGTTGTGTTACTGATACTCTTCCTGGTGGTTATATTTCTACGCAATCGCATAACTATTGCGATTGCACTTATACGTGAAGGAAGCAAGTAAGTTGATTTAATGTTTGGGGGTTTTTTTTAATTTGAATATATTTAAATTAAATACCGTAAGCACACAAGAAGGTAGTAGGAGTATTTATGTTTTTAATCTGACTCTACATGTAATTTGAATTGTTTTTATCATACCTATACCTATCTAGTAGCAATGGTGTAGCTAGTGTGTGTAACACCAGGGGCGGTGATCAATCGTGTCACACTAAACAGGAAAAATCAACACAATCACAAGTTTTTTCTCCAGTGTCACATCCAAACAGATGGTACCCACAAGGCAGACCGCCCCTACCACCCCCCACTAGCTACGCCATTGCCTAGTAGATACCTACTTACTACATTTAACAAAGATTAATATTATACATTGATTAGTCATATTTTTATCTAATTATAAAGTAATAAATAGTTAAGTCACTTAATTTAACCTTAAAACATGATTTTTTTACAGAGCGGTAACAGATATAAAATCGACAGTATTTTTCCCATTGTTTCCGTGGATAATCCAATGCGCCGTGATATGTTATGCAGTGCTAGTTCTCATGTCGCTGCTTTCGATCGGAGAGTCAGTATTCCAAGTTGTAAATATAAAAAACGACACCAGCTGCAGCTGCCATGGGATCTACACAGAGGTAGATTCAAAACTTTTTTAAAAACTAATGTAGGCATAAAAAGATTTTTAATGGGAATATTAAAATAGCTTTTTCTTAACATTTGAATTAAATAGTAATAAAATCGGTAGGCCATTCTAAAACTCTATTTTATAAATTGTCGAATCTTACTTCTTCAAAACAAATATGCATACGCTTTCCATGCTTCTAAAAATGAAGCTAAATCCATACTAATATTACAAATGTGAAAGTGTGTTTGTTTGTTTGACCTTCTTTCACATCAAAACGGATTGATGGATTGGCGTGATTTTTTGTGTGGAGATAGTTGGAGGTCTGGAGAGTGACATAGGCTATTTTTTACCGCGGGAGATCATCTAATTCCCACGATAAAACCCGTTATATCACATCCCAAAAAATTATATATGATTAGAATTACTTGAAACTTGGTATAAATGTTTTACAATACAATTAAATAAATACTGGCTGGTGGCTGGCGGTGGGTTCTGCTAGTTAATTTATATGTATTTTTAACATAACTAAAAATGTCATTATTAATACCATGCCACTTTATATTAATATACGATAATAATAAATATTTTTTATATTTATTGTACCCACCCACTCAACAGGAAGGTGCTGTGTGTAACCCGACAACATTCTTAACGGAATGCCGTGACACAGAATCGCCACTGGGCATGTTGCCCTGCAAACTAGCCACGTGTCACTTCACCGGCATCAGTAACGATAATAAAATCGTGATATACATGCAACGTAAGTTAAATAAATTATCATACATATAAACCATATTTAAAATATTTACAAGTCAATCACTTTCAAAGAATAGTCATAAAATATTAGTATCCACCTTGGTTGCGTATTTTTGAATTCGTTTGACTGATAGATCCCGTTTAAATCTAGATTACCAGGAAAACATAGGTACTTAAAAAATCATTAAAACGACAGATAACATGAAACGAATGCGATGTTGAGAACTACACAATTTTATAGAATTCTAAGAATGAATTATAATTAAATTATAACGACGATAAAGGTATTACGACGGCCGTTATGACTCATGCCTCACTATGATAAAGTGATCATTTAAGTAGATTTATTTCAAAATAATTTATCTAATGAAAAATTCTTATTGATTTTACACGAGTAGATGGGGGATCAGGTGGTATGTGTAAATGCATTTCCCGACAGTAAAAAAAAATAAAATAAAAAAAAGGTATACAATAATTGCTTTCAGTCGTCAATTTACTTGGCTTCTTCTGGATGATGTTCTTTATCAGCGGCGTGTCCGACATGATGCTTGCGAGCACTTTCTCTACTTGGTATTGGACTTTCAATAAAAGAAACGTACCTTTCTTCACCCTTACTTCTGGCATTTATAGAACATTTCGGTAAGCATCTCTAAACTACTAATTAAATAAACTGCTTCTAATTAAATCACAGAAGTAGCTTTGCATTTGAGTTTTATTGATATTTTACTACATACATACTGTTAAAAATATCCGTTTATTTTCGTCTCTTACTTTCAGGTACCACCTAGGAACTGTAGCTTTTGGAGCCCTTATAATAGCTATTGTTCGAATGATCAGGGTCATACTTGAGTATATCGATCACAAAGTGAAAAAATACGACAATCCACTAACACGATGCATCTTGTGCTTTTGCAAATGTTTCTTTTGGTGCTTGGAGAGCTTTTTGAAGTTCATCAATAAGAACGCGTACATAATGTGCGCGGTGCACGGGAAGAACTTCTGCAGGAGCGCCAGTGATGCCTTCTCTTTACTCATGAGGAATATCATCAGAGTGGTCGTGCTGGACAAGGCAAGTTAACTCGTATAATATATAAAATTAAACACTAAATAATTATAAATTAAGACCTCCTGACCGATTCCGGTACGGCGGCCAATCTCATTGAGACTAGCCAACTGCGCATGAGATATTATAGTGCACAAGTGTACGCGCAGATACAAGTCCTATCACTCTCACACTCCGGTGGGACGACACGAGACACGGCAAGTGAGAGTTAAGGCGCAGGACCGACGGCTTTACGTGCTCTCCGAAGCACGGGGGTGTAACACTGCCAATTTCCCAACTCCGGGCTGTTACTTAGGCTTACTATACAGAAAGACTCAATAACTAAACTTGACCTGACCCGGGACTCGGACCCAGGACCTCCGAGTGTGCAGCCATACATGCTAGCCACTGCACCACCTAGGCATTTAACTAAGTACATAATACATATTGCACTAAAAATACTTGCGGAAAATATTTTATAATGACTCTCATGAACTTTTTAAAATGATATTAGGTACAAATTGAAAACGTTTTCAACTTGATCTCAATGGTCTCATGCGAAAAGTGCCTTATTTTTTTTGTCCTATTAATGTTCTTATATTGATAGACTTACACTAATTAACTGTTTCAATAAAAATAATCCTATATTAGTCGAACACAAATTCCTTCTTTGTACCAAATACGATTCAAACCACAAACAAGTAAATGTCTTAGCAAACTAAAAAATAAGTAATATTAATTTAACGGTAAAATATATAATAATTGGAAGGTACCTACTACTATAATAGAACAAAAGACAATTTATGTTAGACACAAGTCGCAATTCAATGCGAATTCTCTCGATTACAGGTAGCAGATTTCATATTTTTCTTATCAAAGCTGCTTATCTCTGTCGGAGTGGGCTTCGCGGTGTATTACTTGCTCGAGTGGAGCTTCGTGTACGAGGTGACGCAGGGCGCGCGACTCAACTACAACTACGTGCCGGCCATCATACTCAGCGTAGCGACCTATCTCATATGCACAATATTCTTCAACGTCTACTCCATGGCTGTAGACACATTGTTTTTATGTTTCTGTGAGTTATACCATATATTTGTATATGAATAGCTTCTATGGATCCAATAATCCTTTGTCTTGACGACAATAGTAATTAAAGAGCAATTGGACCGCGCTAAGTCGGGCTATTCTTCGGGCTATTTTAGTGTGCTTGAACAGATAATAGATGTCATTGTTCCGCAAATAGTAGAACAGTTTTATTTTATAAATATGCGTATGTATGTGCAAGCTAACATATCGTAAATATCGAAAAATTCATCCTGCATTCGATTATTTAAATACCTTTTAACCAAGATAAAGAATTCATAAAAACTAAAAGCGCCATCTCTGAGCATACACCACAAAACCGTCATCTGATTGCTAATTTTTCAAAAATCAGTAAAATTATACAAATTTGACGTAAGGGTGCATTATTTCGTACACCTTTACTTAGGAGTATTTTTTAAAACCATAATATACGTTTTAGGGATCAATTTTTTGTTAATTTAACACAACTTTAACAAATAAATAATAATCGATACATGTAACGTCATCTATTGACATCTATTAGACGAAATTTTTCTTTGTTCGTGAAAAAACCCCACAGTATTATTATGTCTTTTATTAATTATAACTTATAACCTATGTGTTTATCTGATGTATAAGCTATATAATTTTAATGTTGAATCATAATGCGTTCAGTAGTTATCGCATGAAAGAGAAACAAAGTGACATCTATACAACCTTACAAACTTTTGCGTTTATAATATTAGTACAATTTATTAAAAACCTTTTATTATATGCTATCAAACATAAGCCCAGCAATCTATACATATAATAAAATTGTAACTAAGCCGAATCTGTACATTAAATATTTTTTGAAAAATCTTAATTAAATAAACTTTATTATAGATACAGAGGCCGAATCTATAGTTTTTAGAATTTTTGTCTGTCTGTCTGTTACCGCATCACAGAAAAACCACTGGAGGGATTTTGATGAAATTTGGTATGGTGATAGCTGGTTATCCGGGTCATCATATAGGATACTTTTTACCGCGGGAAAATGTCTCATTTCTGAGAAAAATACAAAAATTGAAATGTAAGAGCTTACTAATATGTAAAACCAAAGAATTTGGTTTTTGGTCATCTGAACGGGAGCACCGCGGCCAATGCTAGTTATATATAAGTTACGCGAACGATTAATTTTACGTTTTATTAAATAAAGCTCTCAAACAAATGTTCTCTATTTCAGTGGAAGACTGTGAGAGGAATGATGGTTCACAAGAGAAGCCATACTTTATGTCTAAAAATCTTATGAAAATTCTTGGTAAAAGAAATAAAATAACGTAAATCAGTCAACAAGTGCCAAATATACTATATGTGATGGTGGCATGTCAAAGATCTTTTGTATGGACTTTTTGTATTGATTACATTTTATATATATGTTTTTTGTGTGATATATACATAACAGTGTTCTATAGTTCGTACGGTTAAGAAAATAGTGAGTCGCTGTTGTCCATCAGCTTAGCCACGCCCCCCGACCAATTAGGTCATTTTTACAATGACCAGCCTTTCGTACGAAACAGTTTTGACCTTTGTGCGTTACCTACAATAAATTTTAAAAATGAATACCACACCTATTCGTTAGAATAAAAGTGGATCGATAATACATAGCGGAGAAAAACGAGTAATTTACAGTGTTTTTAAGTACTTTAAACTATTCGATTTAAATGATTTTGATTCTTTTATAATAAATACAAACGATTCTAATGATACTGATTAAATATATTATAAATGATATTTTTCATTTGAGATAATTGTTTTGTTTTTTTAGCCATTAAACTTAATCTTTTGAAATATAATTGAATTGAATTTTTACTCCACTATGAATACACCTTTACCCTGCAGTTGCACTTATGACTATTTTCTTAACGCGAATGGACTTTATATTAGTATAGGTTTATGAGAATGAAAAGCCAAATATTACGATAATAATTATATGCGACTGGAAACTAAATAATATATCTATATTTTAAAAAGTTTTGAAACACTTTATCAAGTTTGCTAATATTTTATATGGTCTTTGTAAGATTTTTAGTATGAGTGATATAACTGTGTTCAAATGTGTCAGAATGAGTCATTTTCTACATATTGTAATAATATACCTAATAATATTTCTATGAATTATATACACTTTTATTATCTTTTCATCAGTTCCAAAATTAATATTTATGATTATACAGTGAAAGTGTCATAGTTTATTTGCATTTGTCTAAACACCTATTCTTCTTTTAATAATAATGATTCTTATTCATATCTCAATATCAATGTATATGCTATTTTAAAAAAAATCATTAAGAAACAAAAAAGTAACTGTTTATTCTAGGCTGTGAAATAATAGTAAGGTATAAATCAGTAGTTTCATATACTTTTATATTTTAATAATTATCACATAAAGCATTCCCATTATCAAATATTATAAGCTATTCTTCCATAACTTCATTCAACCTGTGCTGGGTCAGAAATGCAACATCCAACATGGCTTCTGGATCAAGCAGTTCCTTAACATCGTCATATCTTAGGCTTTCTTCATATGCAAACATTATACTAGAATCGTCAAGCATCATTTTGGAAGTAACTAGAGCGGCAATGCAGTTTTTTAATCTTGCGATGATTTCTCTATCTGACCTACTTATTGGCTGAAAATATAAGTAGTATTTTAAATATGTATATGTATATGATAAAAATATGTGCAACAAAATCAATACATAGAAATTACTATAAACATATGTACATGACTATAGCAATGCATACAAATTACATACTAGCAGGTTACCTCTGCTTCGGTTGGGTTCATCCCTAGTAGTTTTAATGGTTAGTATGGATATTATATTACTGCTCAGCTCCCTTGGGTAGTAGCTTAACAATATATGGCCTATAGAATTCCTCAATAAACAGGCTATCTAATGCAAAAATATTTTTTCAAATCGGATCAGTAGTTCTTGAGATTAGCGTATTTAAACAAACTGCCTTCTTATAATATTAGTATAGACAACAATATGAAAAATATATAAATACTAAATCTATTGTGGTAAAACTAACCTGGACTTCATAGTTTTCAATTTCATCCTTATTCTGTTCAACAACAATATTTTGTTGCTGTGGGCTAATCCATATATATCCGTTATTACCAATAATTATTGAAATGCCACATGGTAAATTATGAAAATGGTTCTTCCTACGTTTAATCAGTGATGGAAACACTTTTACTAGCACACCTTGTGATAACTGAAATTATACAAAACATATTTAACATAGAGAAAGTGCATGACCCAAAAAATAATAATTATAAGTAAATTTTGAAGAGCATTATTTGTTATATTAAATTATCAATATCAATATGATAAATTAAATATTATACTGAAAACTATCAAACTGCAATAAGTTATAATAATTTTTAATAACACAGAAATATTAAAAAGCTGAATAATAATAATTTTGAAACAACAATTGTATACTTTGCCATATTTCAAGCTTCTGGTGTGTAAAGATAGTGAACCATCAGAAAAAACACTCTGAACTTCAGCACTTATTAGGTCACCCTCACACAAATGTTTCCTCATCATTTGCTCATCTTCTGCAGATCTGCGTCGCTAATAAGCAATTATTTGGATATAAAACAGGAATAAATATAAAGTTGATTGATTCACTAGGAAAACAATGTGTAATATGTCTGGGAAAAATTCAATATGCGTAATATAATATGTAGTAAACAAAAAATAAGATTTTCATTAATAAAAGTAATCTTTATAATGGTAAATTAATTAAACAATAGAATTAGCCTACCAATTCTCCTCCAGGTAAATTGACCGATGACAATTGCAAAACAGAATCTAAGCGAGAGTTTGTTTCAATTTTCCATCTCTTTTGTTGAACTTCCAAGACTCTACCAACTACAACATCACCTATTTCACCAACATATCTACTTTTAAGAGGCCTCACACAAATTAATTTGTTTACTTTTTGCATTACACCAGCAACTGAAGATTTTATGCAGTCATCTTCCACATACGTGCCATGACCTCTGAAACCAAAAAAAAAACTTTTTGTTGAATTTGTTTTAAAGAACACTAAAAATTAAAACACTTTTATTTATATTTAGGTAAATTATATGCATAAAATGCACAAAACAAATTCAGTTGACTTGAAGATAACCTCTTTAGAATAATAAGTTATAATAAGATTTAAAGCTAGTTTACATCCTCCATATCACAAACACAAACGGCCCCAGCGAATGATGATCGTTATTAATGTTTTCTTAACATTAGGATTTCAATCGTATAATTAAATTACCGCATAAAATCTTGCATGCCACTGATAACCTCTCCTGGTGTATAAAATCGAGGTAATTCATTATTAGGATTAACACAATGGTTCACTCTTTCAGAAGCCAATCTAATGGTTACATGGCCCGTCATTTTAAAAGACTATGAGATCCTAATTTATTTTCAATATAACCATGTAAATTCTAGTATTAAAATTATGTAAATTGTAAACAAACAAAACAAAATGAAACCAAAAACTAAGTACCTCTACTTCACAGACAATATAACCTATACATGTAATGTCTGTGCTCTACTTGTCGGTAGCACAGATTAAACAATACAGTAGTAAAGCCAAGTACGGTGCTGCCATAAATTACATTATAAATTTTCCAATAACCATAGCATAGACAAATACAATACATGTAGAATTTTTTAAATTTTTAAAATAAGTTTAAACATTTGTTTTGTCTGAAAAACTTGGTAAAAATAAAATTTTACTATCTTTTCTGTTCTTGCAAATTGCAAAAACTGTAAGTATGGTTATATAAACAATCTTACGAATTTAACTATTGTAAACCATCAAAGTGTGATTAAATGGATATTAAATATTAATAACATGTTTATTAATTCATAATTTCATAATACATAAAAAATGTAACTAAAAATATATTATATAAGTAAAAAATGTTTGCCAGCAATAAAATAAAATTATACGTAGCATTTCTATATAGTTTGTGGTCTAATGTCAAATTTTGCTTTTGAATATTGACATTTGACAGCTTGTTTATCTATTTAAAAATTAATTGGAATTTAATATTCTTAAATGCTTTCCATATTCCAATAAAGAAAGATTTCATAGTAAAACTAGTTATTATAATAATGGCAGTTAATGCAGCTCCTATAACTGCTACAGATAGTTTATCACAAGCGTTAAAAGCGAATATTATACCTAATCAGGAGTACCTGCTACAGGTTTGCATTATCTATTGTATTTTTTTACCACAATAGGAAAAAAATATATCTTAATTTATTTTATATAGGGTTCGGTGTTAGATTCAGCTGTAGAAGTTTTATTACATAGACTCCGTGGCCTTTGCGACAATGTTGATGCCGGTCCAGAAACGTTTGATGATCAAGAGGTCTGTTTTATTTTGAGGGACCCTAATCAACAGGTAATGTTGCTAATTATTAAGTATTCATTTTTATAATAATAATAGAAAGAGAATATAGAAATATTTTACTTACTAGGCAGCACCGTTAATGTTGAGAGTACGAAAGGCACTTGATGCACGAGATATGCCCTATCAGTTACGTTACATTGGCCAGCCTGACCTTGGAGATAAGAACAGACCAACTGTTGTGAGGTCTAGCTTGGATATAGCATGCAGTGGAATGCTTATTGAATTTTTAAATGAATTAGGATGCAGAGTGGACTTTGAATATAGTGTTAAAGGTAGGTACCATGCTTAAATTTAAAATCATAAGACATTTATTATTTATATTACTTGCCAACATACATACATATATAATATAGGATCTGATGGGAACTACTTTTTGGCTTGAAAAAAATGAAGTACATAATTTGGCAGACCTTTTTTTTTATGGTATTCAGTGACAAATGAGCAGACAGCCCACCTGATGGAAAGCGATACCTGTCACCCATAGCACCTATGGTTCATGCCCTTAGGTTTTATGTTACAAAAATGCAGAACCGCAGGTGCATTGAACACAATAATGTAATCATTGTTGCATGGCGGGAGCACTAGATAAGGGGGTGGTACTTATCCAGTCGGACTCCTTAGGCTTGACCGAGTCCTACTCCTTAGGCTTGACCGAGTCCTACCACCTGTAGAGCTTTTGTGGAAGTCAATTTTCATAATTTTGTTAATTTCCCAAATAGAATATACTTTTGTTATGGTTGAGCGAATAAGTCATTTTGCAGCACTCCATTCTGATGGAGAAGGTTTTCTTGGGTTTTAGGAGGTAGTACTGTATTTTCTAGCTGATGAGTCCTCACATATCCTATATGTATGCAAATGTTCATAAATATAATTCCCTATCTTAAAAAAAGACTCAAACATGTTAGGTATATAGGCACATTATATTTCATAAAATTAAAAAAAAAATAAACACTTCACAGAATGTTTTCAAGTTTGTTGCATATAATTTATTAATAATGCAACTTCTAAAGTCTTATGTCAAATATTTTTTTTACTTTATTTTATTATTTCAAAATATATCACACTCATTACAGGTTACATGTTTAGAAAAGGGAGAATGAAGATAACTGTTGCAAAGGTGTTTAAAATATCGCAAAGTTCAATGCCTCCAGAACCCATCTCACAAAGCTATCTTGTGGAATTATCGGTATATACTCACTTTATTACCACTCAATACACTCATACTTTACATAAAAAATGATCTTTCCAACCAATTAACTTTACATTAGGAAGAAGAAACAAAAGTAATTATAAATATTTTAATCTTTAACTAAATTCAGTGTAAACCATCCTTGATGCTATCATAACTATGCAGAGTAAAATCTATACTAATATTATAAAGAGGCAGATTTTTTTAGTTTGTTTGTTTGAACGTGCTAATCTCAGGAACAACTAATCCAATTTGAAAAATTCATTTTGCTGTAGATAGCTTGTTTATTGAGGGAGGCTATAGGCTATATATCATATAATATGTAGTCTATGTATTCCATACTAAGTATTAAAACGTACCTAGAGACGAACCCGAGCGAAGCGAGTGTGATTCGCTAGTGTATAAAATATAGTAAAATAAGAAAACAAAATAAGCTGCTAAATAAAATAACTATTTTTAGTAAGTATTTGTTTTCTTGTGCTAATTTTACAACAAACATCAATAATGAATTCATACATATTACACCACCTATTGACATTTATTTTAAACAATAACGACTCACGCTAGCTTCGCTCGGATGCGTCCCTAAGTATAGGTCTCGTCACGTAATAAGAACGCTGAGAGGCAGTGGAGGGGATGTGTCTGCGCACGGGTACAGTCGCGTCCTAAAGTACTAGGCTATTGTTTTATAATATAAATGTAATAGTTGTATTGTAGAATCATAATAGATACAACCCCGTCGCGCCCAGTTCATACCACCACATACAATTTTCTCGATAAATAGCTCAGCATCAAAAGCAAATTGTTAATGTCATGTTGAAAACACTAATATAATGACATACTTTCTAGCAACTGTCAAAACGCATTATACGCAAATTCCACATAGATTTTGTATGGCAAAAGTAACCTTCGTCGTCCCTTAATTAACTAACTATTAGTTTCAAAGCAACAAAAATCTGATTTTACAGTTAATTGTTTTCAGGGATAAATTAAAATGTTTTTAAGTATTTCTTGGAGTTATTGTTGAAGTAAAACTTTTTGCGCGCATGAAAGTAAATTTTCAAGGTCGCAACACGAAATACCGTCATGGTTGCCATATTAACCGCTTGCATTAGGTTGCCATAGTAACTGTTATGATTGTCTGAAAAATTATGTATTTGATATTCCATTGATTGTTATCTTTAAAGATTAATATTTTGTTTTCAAATATGTAAAATATTTATAACTAGAGGCTCACCCTCGCTTCGCTCGGATTCGCCCCTCAGATGCGATAGATGTAAGAATCCAGCTCGATAGAAAGAGATAAAATATTCTTCTCTCCTCTTTGTGTGACAATGGTTTAAATCATATTTTTATATGTGTAATATTTAAAGTTTTTATTAATCTTACAGTTTTGAAATATAAACAACCAATGAAGTTTCACTTCTAACACGTTTCCATAGAAACTTGATTTTTTTTAGTGGTGTCAACTACCCAATTAGGTGTTTGCTTTTTTTAGGTACTGGCACCTCAAGGTCAGGACGCGATAGGTGAGGACATGCGAGCCTTCGCCGACCAACTGCGGCCTCTCGTGCAGCTCGACAAAATAGATTACAAGCGTCTCGGGCACATGTCCGTCACATAGCCCATGTTCCTTACTTAGGCGGGCTTTACATTGACTTAGCAACTAAATGTGATACGATGCTAACTGCGAGTGGATATGTATTTATAATTGTCTTGTATTTATTAATATAATAATATATGTTTTTTGTTAAATATATAATCGTCAATGTGACGTCGTTTGATGCGTCTCATTAGCATACATTGTTTTAGCATTTATATGTAGAGGCAATTAGCAAAACAAAGAAAGTGGAATAATGTTCATCTTAGCAATCGTGCCTCGTGGTTTGAGTCTAAAACTAAAACAACTTATTTTGCTTACAATTATGAGTTATTCTAAACGATTTGAGTCAAATTCAATGTACTTTACATGTTCTATTTCTCATGGTATAAGACCTAGGTATCCGCCAGCGCTATTTCCAGGGCTAGGTCCTAGCATACTTATTTACAACACTAATCATTGGATATATAATGGGTATGGAGGAGATATAATGATATACTACAGACACTATATTATATGTATTACTAGTACAGACACTACACCCCATACGAAGAAATTGAATCTACTTAATTCGGACTATCCTTTGAGCTATTTGGTTTGGCCTGAATAAAGCCGCCGTAAATAATAATTAGAGTTTTTTTAAATAATAATAATATTATTTTATTAAAAATTTCCACTAAAATATGTAAAACAAAATGTAAAAAAATAAAATGTAGTAAATTTCGGTGATCAATAATTTCTGAAAATTTTTTACGAAATCTGAACCGGCCCTAAACCGAACAAGCAAGTTGTATGGAAATTGGAAGCCGTTACAGTTTAGAGGAAGATAATTTTCATACATAGCTGTGTTTGAGACGTACAAACCAGTGAAACAAATGTCAATTATACTTCATAGATAAGAATCTTTAAAATATCAACGTATATGCTATTTGGAGTAAAGCGGAGTTTAAGGCCATCCCCCGAGCAAACGAGCTTCAACATTCGGCTACTTCCTTCCCCACCTCACCTCTAAAAAAGATCGTAATAAATTTAAGCGGCATCTATGGATTATTAGTTAAAACAATATTGCGCATGTCATTAAACACAGACCATAGAACTTATAGAGGCGGTAATGTAATATTCACCGGTGAACTGAAACATAAATGTTTTATTATTATTTATTTATTTATTTGATAGATATAATATTTATTATTTTATGTTATTATTTTGTATTTATTTATTGATCGATTATTTAGATAGATATATTAGATCATGTCAATCACACACAAAATGAAACATAAATATTATATTTATGTTCTAACTATATTTGTCATTAGAGAATGCATTCTATTATAGATTTTGAGATGGAAAAATTAAATAAAACTATAAATAGTTATAATATTTTCATGCAACGAAAAATAGCCAAATTACAGTAATGCCAGTAACTGACCAGACGTTCTGTTATTTAATGCCAATGAATAACTCAGTCAAGTTATTGAAAGTAATATAAAAATAGTTCTTATAAGTTATAAAGACATTTTTGAGGTTATACTTCATTTAGCACGTTTGTTCTGTTACGCCAAAGAGGTATAACTTCTTACGTGCGTATATAAGTACACACACACACACTTTTTTTATTCTTGGAGTTCGCAGCTAGTCACATTTAGATGATGCAGTTTAAATAAACAGTTCATGTAAAGCCCGTCTTAGTGTCAATCTTGTCTGATTTGATATGTATATTCCAAGCGAAGTAGGTTTATATAATGATACAGTACTACTCATGGATGTATTATTAATTAGTATTTTAAATAATATGTAAATAAATATTTCTGAAAAATATGTCTATTATTTTTATTAAATCAAATTTATCTACTAAGAGAAAAGAATCAATAACTTATGAAATTAATAAAAATTCTGCAAGAGAGTGACCCAACTTTAATATTAGATACCTACATTTATGCTATTTTTAATATGAACGGGTGAAAATAATAATGAAAAAAAAGTTTTTTATAATCTACGTAAATATTAAATGATTTTTATTTTAAAATAAATTTTGTGTAGTTTAACCATTCTTGCACTGCGATTTTATCTAATTATATTGGAAATTCATCTTGCAAAATCTGGATTCTTTTTTGCGTGCGTGATACTGAAGTGATCTTCCTCATAGTCGTAGTCCTCATATTTAAATCCATGAACGTAAGCAAAATTTCCAAAGTAGAGACAGTTTTCGTACTTTAATTTGATAAAGTCTGAAATATAATTCGTAAATAGGTACATATTTAATCATTTGATTGCTTATTTCATAATTAGATATTTATTTTAATTGATGCAATTTAACATCTATACAAATAAATGATAATAAAGTGTTTGTTAATATTGTCAAAATACCAGCTTTTAAAAAATTGTCTGTCTGTTCCGGCTAAGCTCCGAAACAGCTGGACTAATTTTTACGAGACTTTCTCTGGCAGATAGCTTATGTTATAAGAAGTAACATAGGGTACTTTTATTTTAGAAAAAAAACTAGAGTTCCGTTCGAAAAATTTAAACGTACACGTAGGGACGCAACCGAGCGAAGCGAGGGTAAGTCGCTAGTATGTTCTGAATTTTGATGTATTTGAATGTACCTATCCCTGTTAGTAAAAGCGTTTTTTTTTACCTACCTACGCTTCCTTAACTAAAATATAAATCGTGCATTAAGAACAAATTCAGCTTGAAAAATTATACCAACCTGTGTCATGAATACAATTATATAAGTCCATTATACAAATATTATCGAATATGTACGTTTCATTGGTATCAAAGTTAAACGCACACAACTTTTCGAAGTATGTTGGGCAAATACCGCATCTAAATAAAAACAAAGTAGGAAACTTTTATTCTATTTTGAATTTATTCATGACCATGGTTATACTGGAAACTGGGTCAACAGCTATCATATTTTTTTTATTTACAAAAACATAGGCATTACAATAATTACCTTCGACCTTCCGCCGGTTCTTTTTTAAAATGTAGCCCTGATTCGTACGCGAACATATATTTCGCACCTACAACGAATAAGAAATTTAAAATTCACAATAAGAAATCTTTTTATTAAACCATTGTCGCCATCGCGTGTAGCTTATTCTCTCTTCGTTCTAACTTGAGGCCTTTGGGTAATTGGGTGCAAAGTCACTTTTTTCTCTGTTTACTCAAAATGTTTACGTTAAGCACAAATCATATAATACTATACTAGTACGTAAAGAAACATCCGTAAAACGTTAAATTAAAAATAATTTATACTTCGTGAAAATGTCCTAAACCTTAAATTACCTTTTACAAGTAGATATACTATTTTAGTCTATGTGATTATTTGTGTTATGCCCATTTTTTAACACCGTGTGCAGATTGCTTTTAAAGTATTGTATTTCTTTTCTCAAAAAGCAAACTGTTCATATTTTATTGTATTTTAACATCTTATCGTGAATCTGACAATTAAAAAAAATATCCTGGAAAGGACCTAATTTTTTTTAAGTTAATATTATTTTCTCTTAGCAATACTACTAGATGATTCTACATCTTCATTATAAAAAGTATCAATTAAATTTTACAAATGCGAAATCATATTAAAACGTATAAAAAAATAAACTTAGAACTTCAGTCGAATCGAAGGAATTTATAGAGAAAGCAACAAAAGCGTGAAATAGTGAAATATATGTCTTTAAAGTAATTTAAATCATTACAAAAGGGCAATACTAACAAATTATTATGTCAAGGTAAATAAAAACAACATATTTTACTTACACAAGGCGTAAAGCAATAACAACTTATCAATCATGTTTGTAAAATTGATGTTTGAAATTGTACTTAAACTTCCTTATCGCTTAATTAAATTTGCTGTACATATTTATTACTTTATTATAATGATTGATATTTTATTTTTAACTCTATCGATATTTTAGCTTTTAAAAAATGAAAGAATTGCTGCCAGAAACGAATAATTTGCATGTTACAAAAATCCAAAGGGCTGATTGCATTAGAAATATTACAAACATAGGTTCTAATAAACGGCATCCTGAACATCGAGAAACGTTATGAGTAACTCTGTAATTTAAAGTCTCTAGGAAGGACTAAATGTGGCGAGGAACGTGCAAGGCATCTATCAGAGCTACTATTATGGATTATTAAATTTAAAACCTGTCTCAGTGTCGTGACGTTCATCGCGTATGTAAATTAATTTTATTTCGTATATATTTTTAGATAATATGACTAAAACTATTACCTACTAATACTTTCTTAGATTTAAGCGAATGTATGACATTATTAAATAAAACTATCTTTTCGGATTATTTCGTAAAAATATATATTAATAGTGTTGCTTAGTAAGTTGGTTTTAAATAATAGCAAATTAAATTAAAATTATTATTCTTAATTAATTTTTAACTTTTTAAATTACACATAGAACAATTGTATGGCTTAAATAATTAATACTATATTTTATATTTTTCTTTATGGTTATAAATATAATAATGGCAACACTAAATATAGATTACTAATTAATATTTTTAAAATTGTAATAATTATAAAAATAATAGCAAAAATTAAATAAATAATTTTCCATATTCTATTATAATTAAAATTATTAAAATGTTTAAAGTTAAAAAATATTGTAATGTAATTGGTGCAATTTTCATTTTGTTAATTGTGGGTAGGCTGTCTGTAACAACTATACCCTCAAGACATGTAACACCTCAGTCTCTCCCGTGACCATGGATGCTGTAAAGCATTCGAAACGTTGGGAACCAAAAATCAAAATAAATCCGCGAAATAATCCGAAAAGATAGTTTTATTTAATATAACCTACTATTTTAAATAAGGATTTGTTACGGATTTTCATTTGTTGTATTTTGTTTATTTTTTCAGGAAAGTTGACCGATTTTAAAATTAATATCAAAAGTTCCACTCTTAAATTGAACAAACCGCAATATTTGATTTTACGTAGACATAGTTAGCTCTGCACGGTGTTCCTCAGTATTTTTTTATATATAAAAAAATGCCAACAATAAGCCAATGTACGAAATTAATTTCATTCTTCAAAAGTTGTTAAAAATATTTCCATGATCAACATAAAGACATATATTTGTACTCTACTTACTGATGCACTTATTCATGAATGTGTTGCCGCTCACAAATTATGGATATCGCATCACCTACTTACATATTAAAATTATAACATAATTATCTTTTAACCGTTTTAGTAAAAAAAAAATACATATTACTATGACATTGTCCTATTTCTTTGCTACATCCTTACTCGAGGAGGTAGTGTTTTTTTTTTAAATGAATACAGTAGGTACTAGACATTGTTGTCCATGCTTTTCATTCATATTTTTGAAGTTATACTTCTTTTGGCACGTTTGAAAAAAATATGAGAGTAAAATCACACCGACAGCCAAAAATCGACATGATGAAATTAGCTAAAAGCGACATGTTGAATTAGCTGCATTCCTTTTACAAACAGAGAGTTGGGACATACGGGATGAAATCTTTAGCTATTTTTGTTCTATTACGCCAAAGAAGTTTAACTTCTTACGTGCGTACATAATTAAGTACACGCACGTTATTTTTTTATTTGTAAAATTATTTTTAGGATATTCAATTTTGAGTTTGTCTTTAAAATAGAGATAATTATATAATATTAGTAGTGGACTTTAAGAGTCTACCGATCAAATGTTAGATGTAAGACTGATAAACGACTGAAACAGCACTCTTCTAAAAGAACCATACTCTTTCCTTTGGGTCTCTTCTTTGAATAAAGATTATAAAAAAATATTTCATCTTTATTTAAAATCACATGCATATTCCCTATGAGCTATCGGAATATTATGACCAAAGATTAAGGAGACTACAATTATGACAGAAGTCTGATCGTTGGTCAAAGAGTCGACATCAATTGACTTAGGTTAACTGCACTTGTAAAAATACCTGTCTAAAATCTTCGATTCGAAATCTATCGATATGGAACCAAAACCAATGTCAATTGCACTTCATTTTAAACATAAAGCAAAGGACAAGCCCAAATAGGTATAGGTAATTCAATTAAAAAATCATATTTAGAATTTCATTGTCTATGAGTTTGTATATTTTTACCAATACCAATTTACATCCTTCATAGTTTATTTATTTATTTATTTATTTATTATTAAGCACACTTACAATATACATGTTAAACAATTCAATACAATAATTAAAGTGAAAAAAAAAGAATCAGACATGCATATCAATAACAAGTGTACATAGCATTTATATTATTATGAAATTATTTAGTAATTGATAAAAAATACAAAATTAACAAAAATTAGAAACAACATAATTTAAAATATAAAATAAAGTAAAGATAAAAACAATAATAATTTGATTTTAGATAATTAGTAATCAATAGTTTTATAAAAATTATTATATCTATATTTAAATCACAGCTTGGATAAATAATATTCTAATAGTTTGTGCTTAAATTTATTGTAGGTATCATGAAAAATATCTAATTCTGGTAAGGCCTTAGAAATATTATTGTATTGCGAACACATACGGACGATGGGAGATTGAGAACCAAGGTTAGTTTTTACACAAGGGATATGGAAAGTATTGTATATGCGGGGCCTTTGGGGCTTATAGGGAACTGCTAAATTTATACGTTCGAGTAAATCATTGTTCTGAATTACACCGTTCAAGATTTTATGCAAAAAACATAGATCGAGCACTGCACGCCTGTTACTCAAAGACATCATTTTGAAGAAGGAGATACGATTCTGGTAAGGCTGTCTTTGGCTAATTCCATTACACAAAAACGCCAAATGCTTTGTGAAATTACGTTGCACTCTCTCAATGCGTTGCGAGTGAATGCCATAGAAGGGACTCCAAACCACAGAAGCATACTCCAATTGGCTACGAACAAAAGCATTGTATAATAATATTTTAGTTGATGCAGAGAAGCCTCTGGTGTTACGTTTTATAAATCCGAGAGTTTTAGCTGCTTTATTAACGGATCTAGTGATGTGCTGAACGAATTTTAATTTGTCGTCCATGATAACACCCAAATCTCTAATCTCACTAACTTTCTGTAGCGGGGTACCTTCAATAGAGTAGTTTGAGACAAGCGGTTTTAGCTTTCTGGAATATTTTATAAAGAAGCATTTCTTCACATTAAGAGACATACGATTTTCGTTACACCAAAGACTGATTCCATTTAAAACTTCCTGCAATGACAGCGTATCCGACGAATTTTTCACGGTTTTATAAATTTTTAGGTCATCAGCAAATAAAGAAACTTTACATGTTTTAATATTAGTAGTGATGTCGTTAATAAATACAAGGAATAGAAGGGGTCCTAGGTGAGATCCTTGCGGTACTCCGGATTGGGCGATATAAGATGTTGATTCGAATCCGTTAACAGATACTACTTGCTGTCTATTCAGTAAATATGACCTGAACCACATCAAAAGAGAACCGTCAATACCATTATGTTTGAGTTTTCAGCAAGAATAGTGTGATCGACTTTATCGAATGCACTACTGAAATCGGTATAAATTGCATCAATTTCGTCTCCCTTGTCAACACCTTGGGACAGGTCAGCGACAAAGTTTACAAGATTAGTTTGAACTGATAACCCACTTCGAAAACCATGTTGTTGGTTAGAAATAACTCGATTTAAATGATGGGAAATTATTGGAAAAATGGAGCTTTCGAATAGGTTTTTCTAAGATAGGATGGATATCGGCCGGTAGTTTTCAACATTCATTTCATCGCCCTTTTTAAAAACTGGCACGATTCGTGCATTCTTCCATTTGTCTGGGAAAATGCCTTCCCTGAGCGAACGATTGAATATTAAACACAGTGGCAGGGACAGTGCCGTCCCACAACGCTTTACAAACAAAGGAGGAATACAATCAGGACCAGGACCTTTGTTGGGATCTAGCGCTTTAATTTTTTTTAATATATCCTTTTCTTGTAGGGTGATGCTTGAAATTGCTGATGAGGTAGGATATTCGGATAAATGAGTACAGTTTCCATTGTTCGGGGTATATACTGAGGAGAAGTTGCTTGCAAAAAGATCGACTATTTCTCTTCCAGTACTTGCAGTGGTTTCACCAAAGTACATGGATGCTGGTAAAGATGTATCTTTTTTGCTTTTGTTTTTAAAATATTTCCAGAAATAATTTGGATCTTTCGAAATTCTGTTTTCTACGTTATTTTTATTGTAATTATCGCAAATGTCATATAATTTGTGGCAACGAGAACGCAGGATATGGAATTCAAGATTATCCCTCGGGTTTCCATATTTACGGTAGCGCATTCGAGTCCTATTTTTTTCTTTTAAGAGTTTAATTAATTTACATGTAAACCAGGGAGGATATTTACTGTTTAGGGTTCTACGGTTAGGTACAAATTTTTGTATGATATCCATTAACACTTCATAAAATTTATTTACCATATCGTTGACATTAGAACACTCAGCAAACTGTAGAGACCAGTCTATATTCTTTAGCTCCGCTATGATCGAAGCATAATCAGCTTTATGGTAATTATATTGAATTTTTCTTAGAGGACGAAGGGAAGATTTAACTGTGTAGGGAATTGTTATCAAAAGATTAGGGTGAAAGGAATCTAACTTACTTAACAACTCAAGGGGACGCGAAACCGATATATTGGGTACGTTACTAATTACTAGATCTAACACCTTACCATCAAGATTACCGATACTATTGTATTGATGCAAATTATTTAAGGCCATAAAATCAATTAATGAAAAACCTAGTGGTGTACTAAAACTTGATGCACTAGCATGTCCCCGAACATCAGAGCTCCAGCTTATAAAACCCATATTAAAGTCACCAAGCACTATTATATCATCCACTTTATTTGACGCCGAGTCTATATTTTCAAGAATATTATTGAGGTTTTCTAATTTAACTGGTGGTGGTAAATAGGCGGCACACACCGCAAGTTTCCTTATATTTTTATTTATTTTCGTTTCAATTATAACCCATACGACTTCGTGGTCATTATCCAAATATGAAGCTCTAAAAGATAGAATTTCTTTTGCAACTGCAATAGCTACCCCTCCACCATCTTTTTTTGATGAAGAAGAATGAATTCGATCCTTCCTATAGACGACGTAACGGGAATCAATCCATTCATTGTTTTCGATGTTATCGTTTAGCCATGTTTCCGTGAATACAATAACTTTGTAATTTGAGTTAGTAATATTCTTGAAGACATTATTGGTTTTAGTTCTTAAGCCTCTGACGTTCTGATAATAGATTTCAAGCATTAGGGAATATATTACAAAAGCATTCTTGTTCAAGCTGCAACGCTTGTTATTGGATTGTATTCAGGTGTTCCAAACTTTTTATAATTTTGGCTTGACTAAACTCATCCTTTCGGATATAAATTCTTCCGTTACGGACCCAAACGTAGCGGTAGTTCAGTTCCTTGGCCTTTATTCGTGTTGCTGCATGAAGCGATTTCATGAGTGGTGTTAGGTGCTCCGAGACGTACACTGCTCTGCGCACACCTCCAATACCCAGATGTTGAGAACTAACTTGTCTTGAGTATTATTTTTATTAAATTGGGCCACTGCTGATAGAAGAGCATCTCTATGCCTTGGACTTCGAAGTTTGACAATAACTGAGCGCGGCCTGTCGCTACTGCTATTTATTTTTGCAACTCTGGTCACTTGTTGTATGTCTTCAGAGTTAAGCGGGCTCTTGACAGTTTGGGCTAGTTGGACTACTGTGCTGATTAAGTTTTCAGATTTATGTTCAGGTATCCCATTTATTTCTACATTATTTTCCCTCATATGCATTTCCATAGTGTTTAGTCTGTTACTAAGATCCTTGACAGTAGATTTTAAAATATCATTGTCTTTTTTTAACTGATCAATAATAGTGGTTTTTTCTTGTAGTAAGTTTTTTAGTTCTTCGTATTGTACGTTTATAAATGACAGTGAATCACAGAAACCGGCAATCTGGTCATTAATATTATTAAGCTGGGTAGAAACTAGGGTTTTAATTGTATTAGCGAGTTTTAAATAAAACTATCTTTTCGGATTTTGTCGCGGATTTATTTGGATTTTTGTTTCCCGACGTTTCGAATGCTTTACAGCATCCATGGTCACGGGAGAGACTGAGGTGTTACATGTCTTGAATGTATAGTTGTTACAGACAGCCTACCCACAATTAACAAAATGAAAATTGCACCAATTACATTACAATATTTTTTAACTTTAAACATTTTTATAATTTTAATTATAATTGAATATGGAAAATTATTTATTTAATTTTGCTATTATTTTTATAATTATTACAATTTTAAAATATTAATTAGTAATCTATATTTAGTGTTGCCATTATTATATTTATAACCATAAAGAAAAATATAAAATGTAGTATTAATTATTAAAGCCATATAATTGTTCTATGTGTAATTTAAAAAGTTAAAATTAATTAAGGATAATAATTTTAATTTAGTTTGCTATTATTTAAAAACAACTTACTAAGCAACACTATTAATATATACTTTTACAAATGAAAAATGAAAAATATTAGTCTGATAAGCTGTCATTTTGATCTACACAGTATGAACTTACTACATCTGCCTGTCTGTTATGTTTATATTTATTATTTGATTTTATTATATTAATAACAGGATCCCATGACGATGGTAGTACCCAGCCATCTTCCCTATTGAAATTAGGATGTTTTTTAATTTCTATGGCTTCTCGAATCATTCTAGGGCGATATCGGTTTTCTTTCGCCAGGATTTGAGGTCTATCGAAGCGAATATAATGGCTTGGGCGGTCCTGACTATGTTTGCAGACAGCAGATGTTGTATTGCGACGGTGCTTCACATCAGCTATGTGTTCTTTGACCCGGGTTCTAATGGATCTCTTTGTTTGTCCGATGTAAGAGAGCCCACAATCACAATCAAGCTTGTAAACTCCTGCATCTTGTAGAGGGATGTGGCACTTGACAGGTGGTAGAAACTGACTAATTTTCTTTGGCGGCTTGAAGTAAGTTTTAATTGAAGCTCGCTTTAGAATGTAGCCAATCTTGTCAGTGACGCCTCTCATGTAAGGTAGGACTGCAGGGACGCGCTCGACTGTGGCTGGTTTCACTCGGTCCCTGTGACGTAGGCGCGGCACTTGCAGCTTGTTGTCTCGCAGAACTTGCTTGACATGTTGCAGCTCTCCGGCCAGGTGTTGCTCGTCACAGATCCCGCATGCCCTCTGAAACAAAGATTTTCCCACGGTAGCTAACTGTGAAGGGTGGTGGTGAGATTCACCATTCAAGTACCTATCAGTATGGGTCTTCTTTCGATACACAGTATGACTTAAGGTGTTATCTGGGTTACGTATAACTAATACATCTAAGAAAGCTAAAGAGTTATTAGACTCCAATTCCATTGTAAATTGTATTTTAGGGTTTATGGAGTTAAGATGTTCTAAGAATACAGATATTTTATCAGATGGTAATATTGTGAAAGTGTCATCTACATACCGCTTGTAGAAACGAGGGGTCACAGGTGATGTGTTTAGGGCGGTCTCCTCGAAGGCCTCCATGAAGATGTCAGCTACAACGGGAGAGACCGGCGAACCCATGGCCACTCCATCCACTTGCTTGTAGAATTCATCATTCCACAATAGATAGCCAGATGTAAGGCAGTGTTTCAAAAGTTCAGTGTATTCTTCTTGCATACTATTATCCCGTAGCTTTCTTGATACTATTTTGACACAGTCCTCTACTGGTAGGCTGGTGAATAGAGACTGTACATCAAAACTGACCATAGTTTCATTGTCCATGAGTTGTAGGTGTTTTATCTCATTGACAAAATGGTACGAGTCCCTTGTGAACGCTGATGTTTGTCCTCTGAGTGTTGAGAGTACTTTCGCTACTAGTTGGGCCAATTTATAAGTCGGTGTGTCGATTTGACTCACAATTGGACGTAGCGGAGCGTTAGGTTTGTGTATCTTTGGAAGTCCACACAGTTTAGGCGGCTTTGCACAAGATGGAACAAGATTTTTGACATCAAGATTCAATGCATCGGAGTGTTTCTTAATCAGCTTTTTAGTATTATTTAACACAGTGGTGGTTGGGTCTGTTTTGACCTTTTTATATGTACTTTCATCCGACAAAAGTTGTTTAATTTTCTCATTGTAATCTGATGTATCCATCACGACGGTGGCATTTCCCTTGTCTGCGCGTAGTATGATAATGTCTGACCTGCTGCGTAAGTTCTTCAACGCTAAATACTGTTGTTTGTTGAGATTAGGTTTGGGCCTTGAACTACGACGTAACAAAGATGAAACATCTTGACGTATGGCCTCCATATCCTCAGATTTCATAGTATTTTTGGCCAGGGCATCTTCAACCGCACAAATAATGTTCTCATAAGGGATGCGTGTCGGCGTAACAGCAAAATTTAAGCCTTTACTTAGTACTTGAATAGTAGATTCGTCCAATGTTTGTTTTGACAGATTGACAACTGCTTGACGTACGCACGAATTTGAAACTGTGGTAGACGGGCGCGTTCCGTTATTGTTTTTGGTTTTCTTTTTGATGTTATATTTCTCGACTAATTTTTGGTATTTTAATATATGTTTGTTTTTGCATTGGTTAAATTTAGATGTTTCGCGCTTATTTAAAGTTTCAATGCAATCATTGAAATCACTTGGTGTCAATACTGTCTTTATATTAAGGGACGTTTGTTCTACGTACCGGTCGTTACTGCGTAGATCACGGCGGGTTTGACGAATCACCGTCCGTAACAACTTAAAACTTGCCTTGTTAACGATCTTGGCGCTTCCCCGTATGTTCTTTTTAGATGATATTTTCACACACGTAGGAATGAGACGATGATCCCGACATCTCTTCAAGAATGTTAAAGATGTTAATAATCTTGCGCGCTTTGTCTTCAGATCTTCTAACCGGCGTATTTGGTTTGCGATTTCCAGTCCGTACTGGTTCACATAATACTTTCTTAGATTTACGCGAATATTTGACATTTTAAATAAAACTATCTTTTCGGATTTTGTCGCGGATTTATTTGGATTTTTTTTTTTGTTTCCCGACGTTTCGAATGACATTCGAAACGTCGGGAAACAAAAATCCAAATAAATCCGCGACAAAATCCGAAAAGATAGTTTTATTTAAAATGTCAAATATTCGCGTAAATCTAAGAAAGTATTATGTATTAGCGAGTTCTAGCTTTAGCATATCACGCAATGTTTCTACCGTAATATATTCATTACTTGCAGCATCGGGAGAAGATTTACTATGCTTCTTTCGCAAGGTAATGTTAGACAGTTCCATTGAATCATTACATGACAGTTTACTGCAACTAGCATTTATAGTAGAAGACCGGACAGGAGTATTCGTGTTGTCTATTTTTGGTTCCTTACTACGACATTCGGGGCATTTCCAAACATTTTTAAATTGTGGTTCTAATTGTTTGAATTCTTTCGAAGAAAGGTTAGCGCATTGCAAGTCATATTTTAACTTGCATTTTGAGCAAGAAATGAATTCCTTTTTAGGTAAACTTTGTTTACATCCAGCACAGCTAAACATCGTTATTTATATTTAATTATAATATTAAAAAAAAATTTTTGCTGAGATTTGAACCTCGTTTCGCAATATTGTATACGCTTAAGGCACACCTTTTACGGATGAGCTACGAGTTCTATGATGTGACTAATGAAATGTTGTGATCACTATATGAGAGTTACAATTGCATTTTATTGAGAGGGTATTAGTATCAAGGTAATTTTATGTTGACCTCTAATTTACACACGGAACCAAGATTTATGCAATAAACACTGTTTAACTGTTAATATGCACTGGTTATTTACAACTTAATAACGTCTTTAACATGATAGAAAACTCTGCAGTTATTTAAGTCTCTTTCACTTCACCAATTATTGCACTTTGTTATAACTGTTTTATACATATTAATGTACACTATTTTATTTATGAAGGAGAAGTTCATATGTTAAGATAACATTTGCACTGATAGTTTATAGCATAGCAATATGATTTTTTAACTTTATTGTTATGAATATTAACACTAAATAGTAATTTTGTATTTTTTAATATAGAGTAACTTTAACGCCGGTTAACTCGTCGCTGGGCGTCCATGACATATAGTATATACATAGTTAGTATTTTTTGTATCTCATATTAGCAGTGAGCAGATTCCCTATCGGAAAATCCCAGAGTTCACATGTATATAACAAGCCACTACTTATTCCCATGGATAATGCTTATTTCATTTCAATTTTTGGTTATAGATACCTACACTAGGTAATGTTTGTAACCCCCCAACGTGCGTTCACCTTGTCGTGGTGGGGGGGCTCAGTAGTGCAATCCAACCGGGCGCGAAGCTAAGAAACGCACAGGGAGGTTGCCCACTTCGGTGGGCGGTGGGAGGTGGCCCTCTTCGGGGGGTGGTGTACCTCGCGGGTTGCTCCTGGTATTTCTCTGATAGCAGAGTGGACCTTGGAGCAACCCCATGGTTGTGGTGGTCTGCTTCGGCAGACCGGCCGTCGGGGCGTCGTAGTTGAATGCGTAAGCGATCCTGCGACGCCCCATTAAGACGGGGGAAGGTTTTGTTGGGTTTTAGTGGGTAGTACTGGCTGTATTACGCCGGTGAGTCCCACATGTCGTGCGTAATTGCATTTCCCAAAGTTAAAAAAAAAAGGTAATGTTTGTAAAAGTAGATATAGATTATTATAAATATAGAAGGACGCTAAGTGCATCTATCGAAAAATGTTTCGCGGAAAATTATGGAACGATAGATTAACGCAGGTAATGAATACAAATATGTATACCGTAATAAATACTGCCGTCAGGACATCGTCGAGGCAGGGTGCGTAAGTAATCCTGTGACGCCCCATAAGCCGGGGGAAGTTACGTTGGGTTTTAGTGGCTAGTACTGGCTTTTCCAGCTGGTGAGTCCCACATAACCATGTTTATGCAGGTGATATGCAAAAATGCATTTCCCAACGTTCAAAAAAGATAATAAATGCAACGATAAAGACATTAGCGCCACTTTGATGGGAGTTATTTCGAGTAAGGCATTTTAGTGAGTGACGTACGATACTTCGGAAATCAAACATTAGGAAAATCAAAAAATGATCCAGTTCTGATACTGCTTAGACTGCTTCATCCATGCAATTATAAAATCTTGACCAGTGTTCTTGGAAAGGATGGAATTTATTTCATAGATTACTTTACATTCTTGGTAATCCGCTCTACACATTTATTCCTAGAGTCAACTTCCTTTAAAGGGACAATTATTTATATAACTAATAAATAAAAGCTCTGACAAAGGATGTAATTTGCACTTCATATAATATAATTAGGTAATAAATAAATAATATACTAGTCAGTTAGTTGGAAGAGCACAGGTAATTATTAATTCGGTGTTTGTGATTCACAATGCGTAGAGTCACAAGCGTAGCGGACACGTAGGCCGACGCTTACGTGGGCGTGCTTGACGGTATCGGTTAGCACGACTGACAAGTTATACCGATATTTAATACATTATTATTTGCAAACATTTTAAACACATAAATATCTTATAAAATTTTACACTATTTAATTTTAAATAATAGCCATTATTCTTATTTGATAAGGTAAAATATTGAAAACAGGCTTATTCAACTTCTGCCTCTTGACTCTATTGTCAGACCCTTGTGACTAAGTGGAAAATGCTATATATTCGGTTCTTCGAAATAAATTGAGGATTAAACTTCGATACATATCGTACTTTGAAGATAGGTAAAATTAAGCTCCATTTTTTTACATATACATATAACTACCTAATTTTTTAATTCTATTAAAATGAATGACAAAGTGATGATTAATTGTATAAAAAGTGATGGACAAAAGAACAATGATAGTAAAATAAAATCTGTATTAGATCTTTGCAACATGTCACATAAATGTATCTACTCTACATATATGATCATATTATATTAAAAACACGAAGGTACATTATTATAAATAATTATTATTATAAATAGAAATATTTATAATGTAATACTGTAGATACAGTAAAATACGTATAGATATATGTATATGTAATGCGAGCCGTTACTCGCCCGCCGCCAGACTTTGCGGCGTTGTGTCGACTGTCAGCCACCCGATCACCTTGAATCGTATCCATTCACTCCCCACGGAAAATCCTCAAAATTCAACATTAAACCAAACATTGTAAATCAAGAACTTAAGTAAATATCAAAATCTATTTAACTAATTATATTATATACCTACTTGGACAGGAAAAATATTACAAACCATACACTGTGTACTGTGAAAGGTACCTACACCGTACAGGGTAAAAAAACATAATGATATGCAGAATAGAAAATAAGCCTTTATACGCACATCAGAAGCGATAAAACTAGTAGTGATAAACCTAATAGCTTTTTTCTTGCCAAATAGCATCTGGCAAGAGAAAAAAAAGTTTTTTTAATGATTATAATAACAGCAATTTTTTATCCTTTAAATGTAAAAAATTTAAAACTATATAAATGCATAAATTAATTAGACTAAATATATATCATCTAGAACTCTAGGCATGTTTTTCTTTAGACTTCCATGTATTATAAATTATGCAATTATTTTTTCAATGTGATGGTAAGCTGTAATTGCTGTCACCTTCGACTTTGCATTTATCAATCAAAGATGGAGTTTTACATGTGATTATTTTTCGTATATAGCGTGTAGACATATTTACAAATGAGTTTAATATAATAGTAGGTAAAATTTACATGCAACTGTTTTTCCTAAGAAATTGTGGGTCAATAAATAGTATGATATTCATTGTTCTCATTTATGTAATGGCGTAACGCTACACATTCTTTATTGTTTATAATAGAATTTTATAAAATATATTTTATTTACAAATATTTAAATTAAATAATATAATTAGTACAATTTTGTTTAAACCATTTTAAGTTACATTAAAAATTACAATGATTGGAGGTACCTACTCAAATAATAAAAGTTAAATATTATACTGTTTTCAAAATTTAGTAGCAAATAATAATAGTACCTATACATAATTAAAAATACCATACGATTTGTTATTATAAATTATAATGACGATGTAAAATCAGGGACAAGCGTCTTAGATAAACCGCAACCGGCGACTGGCGGAAATACCAGCAACGTTTTACAGCATTTTATTTGAGTCAATATATAACAATTTTATGAAATAAACTTACAATTATGTCATAACTTTTATGTATAACAAATAGCGTGATTCGTCGTTGCCGGTCTACATTTTTTGACACCCAAAAGCATTGTTTCCCCTACAAAGTTTGTCTTCCAATTTCAACCCTTTAAGGATTGAACTTAGCTAGTAAGATCCAGCGGGTTTGGATGACGAATGAGGTTAAGTTTAATGTCTTTTTGAATGAAATGTTCTGTAATTTGTCTTTTTGTTTGAATTATTTACGTTCTCAAACCTTATTCACGCAAGTAGTTGCCTACTTTTATATGCATATAATATACTTATAAAGTCGTAAATAAACCCCCAATCCCATTTTTTACTCAACTTCTAAAATAAACGGAAAATTCAATTGATACTATTTCGAGCTAAAATACTCTTAAGTCTTAACGACAAAATGTTTTGGTAATGATATGTGGTTATCAGTAAAAATCGTCACTGAGTATTACTCTCGGTTTAAATTAAGCGAGCAGCAATACAATGCGAACAGCAATATGCGCATTACAGTAGCTTGGCGTCCGATACATCTAATAGGTATGCAATTACATGTGCACATATAACATTATCTTTAAATGTAATTAAGATAGGAATGCTTGATGTACATCCTATCCCTTAAGGAGACAAGGTCAGTAGTTTACATTGCAGATAAACTGACGGCTTGTGCAGAATTAACAAGTCACAAGTTTAATCGCAATTAACTGCTAAGTACTTAGATTATGTTTGTTTGGATTAAAAATAATTAAAAGCTTGATAAAGATAAAGTGCAATAATATTATATTATGACACATTTAACAAATTTTAAATTATTTTGGAAACGGTAAGCTTATCACTAAAAATGTCTCGTTTGTATTTGTTATTAAGCTTCTTTTTTAAATCAAAATGTCAGATCAGGTAGATACATACATATTTTTTTTAAATTAAAATTGCACAACCTTTATATATATACTGCATGACGATTGGGTTAATACTATACCTACGTCATAATTATTGTGCTAAATTAATTGAAAATTGGTATGGTAAGAAATGTGGGCCTTTGAGATTTGATAGCTCAACTACATCTTTACCTATGTACTATTCGGCCGATTCAAATAAAAAATATATATTTAATATATAACTCAGGTTATTTGCTTTGAACTTAACATTTAAGTCACTAGCACCATTAAATAGAATCAAATCAAAAAGTAAGATATAACGGAAACATTTTTTATTACCTTAATAAATAAATAAATTGTGTAATAGGAAGAGGCTAGCGTCTGAGATACAGGCTCGGCCTAGTTCAGAGTTCAGACGTTAATGTACTTTAACAAAAAATGTATTAATTCTATGGTTTCTA